AATTGAAAAATGTTTTGAATTATTTTTCTTAAATTTAAACGATATCGAATGTAAAATTGTAGGAAAAGTCGAGAAAAATTCTTCTTTTTCATTTTGATAATTACGTAATGTTTAGAAGCAAAAAACGTATTTCTTTAATTCTTTCCAAAACTTTGATCATTGGGAACAGAAAAATGGTTCGATTGATCAACTTGTTAATTTACAGTTATTGTGGGTACATTGAGCTGTAAAAATTTCTATTTCTCTCAATATTCGTTTTTTAACAATGTTTGTAAATTAGCGGTAGATTTAAAAAAGCGTAAAAAGTAATTTTTTGCATTTTTTTTCAAATTAATGTCAATGATGCAATTTTTTTTTTCTTCCAAACCCATGATAGGTCCTTGTAGACAATGTATTCAAGTTTTCAAAACCGCTTTGCAATAATATGTTGCTGATATATCGCTGATTAAAGACAAAAGTGTAATTTTTCATTCAATCTCGGCAACCAAGACCTTTCAAAAAGCAAATTGAAGCTGAATAAACAAGCTAACCGAGTGCATTAATTGAGTTGAGGAAAAACTTCCTGAGTCCATGGACAGTCGTAAAAAAAATTAGAACATTTTTTTCTCGAGGTATTTCTTTTGATTAATCGTAATACACCAAAAAAAAATTATGAAGATCTTAAAACTAGAGACTTAAAGCTTCACCAAACTATTATATAGCCTTTCAAAAATCACTGAAAAACTTATAGTGGTGTATATTAATTTAATTTAATGTTTCGCTCCAAATATTGACACCACAATAAACCTCCCGTTAAAAAATTCAAACCTCTCCAATTTTTTTTCTGTAAAAGGAACCTTGTTTTGTCCGAGATTTTGCCAGAAAATATTTTCAACAGGTTTTCGTTGACGTTATTCAGTGGGATCTTTGAACCAGTGTGAACATGAACATTTGCGTCGTCATCGCTCCAGATCGCCACGAAATTAACATTTTATTTTTAGAAGCCCCGATACACTAATCTTATAAATATTTTTCTCGAGTTTAGAACTTTTTCTCTGTTGTCGAAATATATTTAGATTCAAATATGAAGCCAATCCTCTACGTATTTCATTTTGCTGCCTTTTCCGCAGTTGGTGGGTTGGTAGATTAGAATTTTGTTTGTTATATGCAATCAAAAAAACTTTTATGCAAAATTGCATAAAGCCTATAATATATTTTCTGTAATTTACTGAAAATGCGATATAGGTGTATTTATGATGCCTAAAATGTAACTTTTCTAAGAAACAGAGAAAGTACACAGTATTTTTAAGAAAGAAAAAATTGTGCATTATTACGTCGTGACATATCGACACAGTTGCTGTTTTTAAGTACTATTTATATTTTTCCAAGATGACAAGGCACAATCAATGGGAATATAACATTATATTTAAAAAGATATTACTTAGACTAAAACATATATTTTTTGATTACAAATAAAGATAAATAATAAGTACTAAATAATATTTATATAAAAAAAATTTAACTGTGTTAATTAAATATTATTACAATGAAAAACTTGTCAATTGTACGTAAATTTTCAAAATTTTTATCAGTACCTAAGGCCAAAAATAATGTGGTAGAAAAGTTTCCTGTTTCCTGTAGAAGAAGATGTGGTTGTATTCTAGGAATTATAAACATAATGAGACAGTTTTATAACAGTATTCTTAAAAAATAGGGGAGGAAAAAACTTAAATATAAAATTGTAACTTGTCCATTCACAATTTCTATTTATTGAACTAAAGGCAAAATACAGAGAGAGAGAGAGAAGTAGTTTTATATTTTCTTTCTACGAGTACTACAATAGGTACGTACTATATGTTGAGTTGCTTATATTTAATTTAAAAATAGTAAAATTCCACACAAGTGTTTTGAGAAAATTGTAAATTCTGTGTAAATTGACGTTAAAACATATTCGGAATTTACTTTTTATATTTTGAAGTAGTTCATAATCGTTTTGTGTACAGTACTACATAAATTGTTCAAAATTTTGGAAAAGATATCATAAATGTCAATTTTTGAGCATATAAATAAAAAAATGTTGGATAAATATCGATGGATATGGTTTATGAATCGTTAGGAAATTCTAAAAAATATTAAGGAAAAACAAACAATTTTGTAATTTTTATTTTTTAAAATAATTAATGTTCTTTGATGAAGAAAATATGGATTATTGATAAAAAAACATTTTTAAAATGAATAAAAAGTGAAAAATTACTAGTTACAATGATTTTCAGCAAAAACGACAAATTTATCAGGGTTTTTCTAGGGCATTGAGGTAGAAAAGTTACAGTCAAGTGGATAAACTAAGGATTATCCATTATTTTCAAAAAATGTTCCTAATTTGCAATTTTTTACTTTTTCCAACCAACATTTTCACTTCAAGAAAATTGGTTTTTATCAAAAATCAATAATTACGACATATAGAGAATACTTTGCAATTTTCAAAACCCTACTTGGATATTCTGTGGGATAATTATTTCTCGAGTAATTGATTGCCAGTCAAAAATTACTATTTTGCTTTGATCGACGATAAAATCAAATCAAATCATCGTACATGGCTCCACAAACACTCAAATTGAAGGGAATTAAATTATCTAAAAGAGCTTTACTGTGAAATTACAAAAAAATATATTCCATATACTTTTTTAACGACAAGTAAAAATTTGAAAACATTTTTTTTCGTTGGTTTCCTGATTAGGTATTACTCAAAAACCGCAGACGCTAAAAAATTCTAAACTCCAGATCTGAAATCTACAAATTTGAATCTTCAATTTCTTTTTTTTTAATTCTTTCTCACAACAATTTTCCTCCAAGTTACAGCGCTTTGAAAATCACTCAAAAATTTGTGATTTTTTTCATTTCCCTTATAGTCCAGCTACTCGGGGTTTTTGCCTCCAAATTCTTTATAACTGAACCGATTGACGTGAAATTTTGATTGAATGTGGGGAATGCCTCAAGGAACAAAACTTATATAGTGTCGAAGTGTGCTTTTGCCCTAGGGGTGGTTCCCACCTCTTCTTGGGGGTGGAAATTTTTACGTCCTAAATAACCACAGGAATCGATAGAGGAGTCAATTTTAAGTAACAAATGTTATATAAAGTTTTTTGGATAATCCAATACTTTCCGAGTAATTCGTCATTGAAAATGTTGATTTTTTACTGAAAAAGTGCTTGTTTTCGGACAGTTTTTTGCAAATAACTCTGAAACCATGGATTTAACGAAAAAGTTGTAATAAACAAAAAGAAAGGTAATAAAAAAAACAAATCTACCTAATGGCATTATTTTGTTTTTCTCTAATTGCAATATAAACCGAGTTATGGATTTTTAAACATTATTATATGTTCGCTAAAAACTAAATTGGAACCAGTTAACGTTAAATAACGCCAAAACCATAAATATGATAATCTCATTTTTTTAAGGAAAAACTAACAAACAAATCAGTGCCTTTGGCGACAAAATTAATATTAAATGCAATCCATTTACAGACTTCTTCATTTATGTTCTGGGTCTTTGGCTCACTTACAAAGCATGATGTTAAAAAAAACTTAATTTTTGAAAAAGTTAATTTTTCAAATTTATAAAAAATTTCGATTTTTACGCTGTAACTTAAAAATTAAAGGGTGTACAAAAAATACTAGAGTAAAAAAATGTTGCTTTATTTTTGCTAAAGATTTTGCTTTTTTATTATTCCTCTAAAATTAATATTAATCGAGATATCGCCATTTTAAGTTATCATATGAATGAGAGAACCACCCTTTTCTAGCCCTTTAAACCCTTCAAACTTAAAAATGAAGGGCTAAAAAAAGATCAACTAAACAGTTCACGTAGCCCTTACAATTCCCTGCAAAATGAGCCTATGTACGATTAAAAATCTTAAAAAGTAAGAAAGTTATCGTCAAAAAAATAAACACATGTATGTGATAATTTTAGGAAAATATATAAATGAATGTAAGGGGTAATTTTTAAGGGTTGAAGAGTTGCAGTCAATTCAAAATTATGTTATAAGAAGGGAATAAATGTATGATTAATAATACGAATGCACATTTAAAATGTTTCTACTCTTTCAATAATATTTTTTCATTTTATTTTCGAAAGAAGGGGTATTTTTCAAGGGTTGAAAAGTTGCAATCGATAAAAAAGATTTTTTAATCAAGAAATCAATTTTAATTTGATAAAAATACATGAATAAAACGTTTCAAGTTGAAAACAAACATTTTTTTATTATTTTCATTCAAAGGGGTGGTTTTTAAAGGTTTTTCCGGGTTGAAAATTTGAGATACATTAAGTTTCATGTTATATAGCACATGAAATTACTCCTACTGAATAAATAAAAAGATTTTATTACATAAAATGCTTGTTTTCTCCAAGAAGGGGTGGTTTTCACCCCTTAAGAACAAATAGCACACCTAGCGCATATATAAGTTTTGAAGTGGGGGGTAAGATGAGCCTAATTCTAAATTTTGAGAAAAATCGATGCACTTATAAAAAATTCGGAGGTATTACTATATTTTCAGCTTCAGTAACTGGGCTTGTGACTAGTGTATTTTATGTAATTTTTATTAAAACACAAAACTTGAATGTTGTGCGATATTGAAGAAAAAATATGTTTTAAATATTATTAATTATAAGTAACAAGTTCAAAATTAATAATAATACATTGCTAATTATTTTAATTACTTATAAACGTAATAACAATAACAGGTTACAATGTACCAGAAAAAGCCTAACACCTAGCCAGAATTATTATAAAAACGTTTTGTAAAATAAACAAGCACGGGGAATAAAAAACATCACCACTCGAATATACACGCAACAGATGAGACGAAACTATTTCAGTGCGGGAGGGCCAATGGGATGCTAGCTAGCGCTGAAGGGACGCGAGATTTCAGCATCCCTACTACCTGAAACTTGGCACGCGTCAAGATTTGTAAATATAGAACAGCTACTTGGTTCCATCAAGTCAGTAAGTCCTTAACCACTACAGAAAACACTTCAAAATCACACATCCAAGTGTGCGTGTCAATGTCAGCGACAGAAACAATTGTAATTGTCAAAATTATTAGAACAACCTGTTGAGTACAAAGTGCGACCGAATAACGAGTAACTGGAAGTTGTGTGCGCGTCGCGACTGCTGAAAACGTAACGACCGACCATCTGAAACCATGCCCCGAGCTTTTCTCATCACCCATCGCCGCTACAACTTCGACGAAATGGAGCACAAAGGTAGGGATTTTTTACGCGGTTTTGCTAACGTTCTAATCATTAATTATTCAAATAAACCAGATTTATTTTATTTACTGATCTGTTTATATCCATTGAAACATAAATTTGTTTTATACGTGACTATTTTTCTCTGGACTCAAAATACGTAAATAACTCCCAAATGTCATCCAGAAATTTGACAGTAACCGACTGTAACGCATAGAAAAATCCATGGAGATGTTAGTCACCCTGGAAAAATCATTCACATCTATTTTATTCTTTATCCTTACTAGAAATGAATATTTGTATAACGTAAAAACAATTTGCAATTGACAGGTATTGTCAAATTTGTAAGAACTGTCAATATGAAACAGATGGATCAATTTTTAGGCTATGAGTAGACAAATTTTCTATCGACTACGACAGTGGATCTAGTATACTTGGATAATACGTAAAATTCAGATCCCCCCTACTACAATAATCCCTAGGAAGCTATTAATACATCTGGATTAACGGTGTTAATGACGATAGGCAATTTTGGCTCTAAGTAAAAATATCGGCGACCTCATTCATGATCTCCTACTGCTTTGTCCAATGTTCGCATAAACAGATTTCGACAGATGTTGCATATAGCACCTATATTTAAAGGCTTATGAACATAAACATTGACTGGAGAGAAATAAATTTTAAATATATGTTTTTCAATGCAATCTAAAACCTAAAATTTTACATTTACCGTTAAATTGGTCAAGTTTTGTTGGTCCATGCAACTGTGGTGAATTTCCCAGCTTCATTAAATTAACCAAAAAATTGGAGGCTGGTTCTAATTTATTGGCAAATTCGGTGGGCTAATTTTTACACTTACTTTATTTTAAATATTTTATAAACAGATTGTTATTGAAGCTATGTAGGTCTAGCATAAATGTAAATATATTATTGATACACGATATATATAAAATGGTACTCTTAAATTTGCCCAAATAATATGTAAAAAGGTGTCACAAATTTCCCGAGTCAAAATAAGTGGCAAAAAAGTAAATAATAATAAAAAAGTAAATAAAATAATAATAATAAGTGGTAAAAAAGTAAATAAAACAGGTTTTAATGCCAATACTTGAGTTGCTACCTGGGAAAATATTACCAAAACAAAAGTATTTTAGTGTTTAAATTTAATTTTTTTTATGTTCTCGAAAAAATTTTTTCCCATTAATATAGACATATACATTTAATTTTTGGCTACTTGGCTCATTGAGCTTGTTGATTTTAATTTGCGGCATATTTTACATTTAATAATAATTTTTTACCTAACAGTTCAAAAATTGTGTCAAAACTTATCTCAATTTTGTGGCATTTTTTATATATTTAAGTATACAAGTTATTGGTGAAATTTTAGTTTATCATATTTAAAGTTACCAAAAATAACTATCAGCAACATTTCTCTAAATATTTGAAGAACAAAACAAGTGTCAAAATCATAAAATGTAATTGAAACCAGTGCCACGGAAAGAATATCCTGAAACTGCAAGAAAAAAGGAGCATTTTCCACAAATGATGATATACAGGGTGTCCCGCATAAGAACCGACACAGGGAAGGAGCATGTGGGGAAAAAAATTAATATATCTGCGACACTTTACCGTAGAAGAACCAAATTTGGTACATGATTTAGGTTTATTACTGGTCTTCTTTGACTATGATTTAAAGTTAATTGAAGCACTACAAGGTGTTCATTGGCGATGACTCTCCCCTAAAATTGTACCGACCTTTTTTTATTGACCGAATTGAAAAATAGTAATATTAATGCACAGCAGAATTTAATTTTAATTTTTTTTTCTCTTGTTAAATTTTAAAAAACTATGATTTTCAAGAAAAACCGTATTAGCTGACACAAGATTTTAACAGTGTTCATCAGAAAATAATTAAAAAGTCAGTAGTAGGCTTTATCTGTCAAATTTGACAATTGGCCAAATAAATTTTACTTCACTTCTCTCCTAATTCTACAAAAAGAAAACAAGTACCTAGGTAGTTTTTAAATTAGCGAATATTGTATTAAGTAAAAAACACAAATAAATAATAAAAATAATAATTGATATTTTCTCAACAACAATCAGAGGCAATTGTTGAAATACAATAATTTTATCACTAACTGACAAGTTTGAAATATAAATTCATTGACTTTTCGAAAATCGATATTTTTTGAGTTTTTCTCAAAAACATCCTCTTGAATCCACAAAATAAACCGTTTGATGATGATAAGCATAATCTTTTTTTTGTTCAAATCCTATTTCACTTACAAATATAGAAGGTTAGATTAATTTTAATTATTTAAGGATTTCCTGAAATTAATAAACGCATTTAGTCTGAACATCCTGCGTTTGAAAATTACTCAAAATTGGCCGACATTCCAGACCAGAATCCTGTTGCCTCCAATTCCTTGACCAATTTATTGAAGTTACATATTCCCGAGAGTACGATGCGCAGTGGCAAAGGAGGAGAGTGGAACGAAACTCGCTCACACTTTTCCGTCTCATTCTAAATCAAGTGTGCCAAATGGCCAATTCATTGGGTCAAATTTAAATGTAGAACAAGTTTAATACGCCAGACTAACTGAACCAGAAAAATAGCAGCCATGTCTGATGAAAACATAACATTAAATACTGCTACACTTGCCAATTAACACATTCATTTTTTAAATGGTTGTATGGATTGAATTGTTGGGGAATAGGCCAATAACCCATGTCTTGTCATAAGCAACACATTCTTGGCATCTATGTATAATTCCCTAGTCAGAATTTACTCACAAATATATTGAAATTATTTTACTGATTCATACTGTTATGGAAAAAATATAGAACATTTGACAAAAATAAATACCGTTTTAAAATCGAAAAAGTAAAGAATAATCATTATTATTTTTTAAGAAATCGGGTAAAAAATCATGGAGAGGGCGCACTTTCGAACAGATCTTAGCAAAACCAGGTGTTCCAAGTTCCTTGCGATTTAATATTTTAAGATATGTGTAGTCTGTAGAAGATCTCCCCTACGTATTTATTTACTACATCCAGGCAGCAGCCTGTAAATTATGACATTTACACGATGTGCGAAGAATATCCATGTTTAGGCTACTATGGTTCTTTTACAAGATATTTTACATTCAATTTTTATGCGCCTTTGTTTAAATTAAGATTGGGATAACTGTTCGCTAAATTACCCTCTTATGGATGTTAAGTATTTGGTACCCATATTAAATTTAATCATAATGTCAGTAGTAATCAGTTATTAATTCTGCTCTTAATTAGAAAATTAATTTCTTGATAAGTGTAAACAGACGAAAAAGACATAAACATAACTTTCTGAAAACATGACTTGAATTCTCTCTTATGCTTGTATTAATTTATTACAATTTACAATATTTTAGTTTATATTATTTATGAAAATTAGTATCAAATTAATTATTACAACTGAAGGAACGAAAAGCAGTTAGGATTGTTTAAACAATAGTTATTAGGAGAATTTAATGATTATATGAAATGAAATGTAAAACCTAATCTACAGCAATAATTTAAAATTAAAGTAGACTTTTAATAGTCAAAATAGCAAAAGTCAATTATGACAAAGTAGCAGCTTAAACTAATATAAAATAATCTAATACAATCATGAATTTAGATACTTTGTAGTAGTTACGTAGCTTAGCATCAGTTTGTTATTAGGATGAACTACTTCCCCATAATAAACCGTTTTCTATAACGTATTATGGGCATTTCCAGTGCCACTATTGAACGATGAGATTTCTACTTTTGAGGTTTCAAAAACAAGCAAATTTATCTGTCAAGGTAGATTAAATTCCAACCAAAACTTTTGTGTCGCTTAAAATTGTTTCATTGCCACCATGAAGGGGGTTAAATTTTAAATTTCCGTACAAATTTAAGATGTATGCGTATTTCTATGTTTTTTGGGACGCTGAAACCGAAAATGACTACTACAAAAAATGATATCCACTTACTCGATTACCCCCTTACACTCCCTTACAATCATTTAAAGAACCAGCAGGATCCATATGAAAATTGGCTCTTGGTATATTGCTCTAACGTTTTCGGAAAAAAAGAGAACCAAAGTGTTCATGGGCTCAACGCTCAAAACTCGAACGATCCAAAGTCTATTACCTGTTTATTTATTTATTTATTTATTTAAGAAGTAGGAAACCCAACAGGATTAAAAATCCCAATAACAAGGTAACACTAAACAAGTAACAAAAAAACAAGGTGATGAAGTACAATATAAACATAATCTAACTAATGTGACAATACAAAAAAGACAAAAAAAATACCTATAAGAAATTATACACTTCCTCACAGTGGTTTTATATCTATTCAAAGAAATATTAAAGATATCAACTAGTTGACATAGATTGCTATTAAAATATCTTGGAATTCTATGAAACGGTGAATTTAAATTATAATTACTATGCGAGAGTTGAACATAGAAAACCGAGAACTGACGGTTAGCATACACCGGGACTTAAAGATTTAACAGACAAAATATCTGTATCAAAATATCCATGAACAATTTTATATAACAAAACACAATCAAAAAATTGTCTACGCTCTTCTAAGCTAAGCAATTTATGTACATTAAGAGAGTTCTTATATGGAACGTGTAACAATTCGCGATTAAATCTATAATTAACATCGTTAATAAATTTGATTTGAACAAGCTCAATTCTGTTTATATATTTAAAATATAAAGGAGACCAAATTACCGTATTATATTCTAAATGAGACCTAACTAAAGACAAATAAAGACAAAACATACTTTTAATATTTTTAAAATCCTTGGTAAGTCTCAAAATGAAGCCCAACATTCGAAACGCACGTCTGACTATATAATCTATATGAGCATCAAATACCAACTTATCATCCAAGATGACTCCGAGATCCTTAATACTATAAGCTTTTTCAGCAATATTAGAACCAATAATAAAGTGACTCTGAAAAGTATGCCTATTTCTAATGAAAGAGATATG